CTTACTAATAGAAAAGGGTATTCCTTTTCTTTTTTTTTCCCCTCGTATTCCTCGCAATCATATCCAATCATGTCCTCAAGGTCCACCACCAAAGAGGAACACCCAAAAACAAAATAAATCCTCACTAGCCCACTCCACACACACACACACACACACACACATACAACAACATTATCAATCAAGGAGCGCAATAATCCAATAACGACAGGCCACATTAACACAGCATTGGAATTCCTTACACTAACGTCCCTTTAAAGGCATCAAGGGAGACAGCTAACAATATACAACCAAATTCTTGAGTGGACACGACCCTCTGCACAAAAAACCATTATATTCAGACACTCCATAACTCTGACTATTGAGTACTGAAACCAAATTGTGTCAGAGACACACAAAATGTTAGCGATGGGTTTTGTTGCAAAACCAACATCTTTTTACGTTCAGTGATTCCCCATTATAATAATAACCCTTGCCCTCGCAGAACCTGTGGTCGTATAATTTTAGCGAGTCCACATGGGCAAACCAATTCACAAATACAAAACATTATTTCCTTGTATCCTGTCCTTTTTTGTCTGTGGAGAGGCAGTTCTCTCTCACACTTCATCGTTACCAGCAATGAATAAAGACATTACCTTATTTCTCACACTTTTCTGAGAGGGTTTTCATTTACACTCCCACGCACAGTCACCCGCATGTGGCAGTTTGATGTCACATTCTTTCTGCTTCATCTGTGTGGTCAGAACAGGTCCATTTCCCAAATCCCAGTAATGTACGGGGCAATGCAGGGCTGTTGAGTGAATTGAATGCCCACTTCAATCCACTGCAGACCCTCTTCAAAGAAGGACGAGAGGGTTATCTGTCCCACACACACACATGAATCAGTACTAACTTGATGTGGATGGTGCAGTTCATGGCATGGTGAAACACTCTCTTGTTCTGAAAAGGATAAAGCCATCCAGAAATAAAACCTCATTGGTCCCTATGTGTTTGTTGGACCCACACAAACCAACAGATGAGGAACAAAATGATGCATATGAGGGCAGTGCTGTTTCTGTCTGTTGTGATCCCTTCGGTAATAAAGAACATTAGTCAATGTCACCACGACAGGGTAGTCAATATTATCAGGGTTATTATCTTCTTGTTTATTTCCTTTTCTTGCCCGTACCAATCCCAAACCCTGCATAGCGCCCGGATATCGATTTCTCGTCTTTTGATGACCCGTAACGTCCATTAAAGCACCTCCTTCACCTGGTGCACCTCATCATGGTGACCCCCTTGTTTTTTTTTTTTTTGGTACCTCCCGGACTTTTCATGAAATGCCTTGGAAATTATTCTTACCCCACCCATGAATAACCATTCAAATGAAAAGACACTTTGCGTTTAAATCCATTCCTTCTTATGCATTCATTTCATGTGCAACACATTTCCTGAAAAAAAAATGAGAATTTTTAATTACGAAATGTCCAGCTTTGATGATGTTCTTAGAATAAATAGAGAAATAGTATCCGATGACTCCGCATATTACTGCACAGAGTAAAATGAACAAATGTAATAGGATCCCAACAAAACCTTGCCACAACCAGTACTGAGACAAATGAAGCACTACAATTATCTGATTTCTGGGGTAGCATGCACTAGAAAGTACTTCGTCGCGCATTGTACTATGAAAAGATTATATTTAAATGTATAAAAACGGCTTCTCTATAATAATAAAAAAACGCAGAGATAAATATACAGACGGTGTGAGGTCAAGCGGACACACCATTTCACAGGACATTCCCATCAGGATCAAAATAACAGTACTCTACTATCGTTTTTAAAGTTAAAACATGTTTCTGGTTAATTGACACATAACATGTATGTGCAGAGAAGAACCACAAGCGCCTGGAAAGCAATAGCAAACAAAAAAAAAAAAAAACGGCGAAATCTGTACTCTTCCACAGAGGTGTGCGCCAGCTCCAATGAACTTCATCATTTACCGCATAATGAATATTAGAAGCTCGAATGAGGATGCCTATAAAATACGGGCAAGTAGCACTAGAATATATTTGAGTACAAACTACTTAAAAGGAAACATTGCCACAATGTCAATGACTCCTATCAATATATTTAGTGAAGTATATATGGAAAATCAAAAGATGTTAGGGAGAAAGAATAAATATAAGAAAAAAAAATGGCCTTTTGAAGATATTTTAAGAAATAGCATAACAGAATCATTCCTGTATAGGTTTTTTCTTTCTACATATACCAAATAAGTAGAAGGCTACTAGAGACTTCCAAACATTGTGTCAATGCAGAACTCAATAGCAAAGATAAAGAGTAAAAATAAAAATAAGAATGAGCCCCAAATCGGAAAACCCCCAAAAAACCCGGAAATGGAAAATATAAAAAAAAAAAACTCGTCTTGATACAAAATAGAAAATAAAACGTTTTCATTGGAATACAGAAGTTGCTCTGATAAATTGCATTTTCGTTTTCTTTTTATTTGATTTTCCCAGCACTAAAAAAAAAAACAAAAAAAAAAATACACTCTTCACATTTCCCTATTCTCTACGTGATAGTTAGAGCAGTCACCGTACAACCCGAGTATGAGCAAACAACGGCAGTAATGAACGATTCCTCCATGCAATCGATAAATACTCACCGGTGTCGCAACCTACAGAAAAAAAAATTATAGTTTGGAAGAAATCTTGCATGAATGATGGTCTTGTAAACCCATTTGCTTCTTGTAGGATTTACGGTATTCCTTTACCTTGCGCAACTTTTCGCCTGGTTGTGATTCCAAAAATAACCCGCCAACGTAAAAACACGCAAATGCTCCCGAAGCATGAGCCCATGAAAGTGCCTCCGTAAGACTCAACTCTCCTGGTCGCAAACCCCGCGAGAGACCCTTTGCAATTGAAGCGAGGAGGCCACCGGCGAAGTTATCGCCACAACCGGTTGTGTCGCCATGCCACTCTTTGTTCTCCGATATCTCTCGCAACGCCTGTGTACTTACCGGAAATGCCGTAAGTTCCATCTCTTTGAAGAGAGTCCCACTTGACCACGCGTAGGAATCCAAATGACCGTGAGTCACAACCACCGACTTGACGCCCTTTTGGATAAAGAAGTTCATGGCGTTTTCAATAGTTTTCTCACCGCTGATCTTCATGGTCTCATCCCAGTCCATCACCAGTAGGTCCATGAGTGCAAAGGATTCATCACTCTCTCCCATAGGCCATCGTTTGTTAGGGTTTTCTTTCTCGTTGGGAAAATCAAAAACGGTTCCAACTACGTTTATACACCCCCGTTCCTTTCCCTTCCTCAACAATGTAGTAAGTTTCTTGTGAATCCGAGGAGCCAAGGCGGTAGCCCCAAAGTAAAGTATATCAGATTCAAAAAAACTGTCATTAATCATATCTATTGTGTAATCTCCAAAAACACCTTTGTTTACCACAAAAGAACGTTCACCTTTACCTTCATTGTAGTTGGGGTCAGACAGACAAAGGGTATAGGGCGAGCTTCCTGGCATTCTCTGAACATTGTCCAAATTTACTGGTGTCTTTCCAACCATTGATAATATTCTATCAGCAGTTGCATCGTTCCCAACGGCTCCAAAAAGTCGAACAATAGCATCATTGTTTTCCATTAACTGTGCAGCATTTATTAGTGCCACGACGCAAGGTCCACCAATATTACAAACGTCAGGTTCACGGTACCAGTTTTGACATTTTCGCACTTCGTCGATAGAAACACCACTGAATTTTTCCAGATCCTCTTTAAACACCAGGTGCCCAGGGCTTGTGCCACCATCACCTGGTGTCCTCGACTCGTATTTCTTAAACCCCTCACTTGAAAAATCCAATTTGGTGAACAAGTAGTCCATACAAGACCATCCCACACCAGATATCGTGATTCTCGGCATTACTGTGTAAAAGATAGTATTTTTGAAGAAATAGATGAAAACTTTTTTTTTGTAAAATAGATATTTCTCTACACATTCACGTACACACACACACACACACAAAGAAAGAGAAGCGGAGCAAACAAAAATAAAATAAAAAAAGAAGTGCCATACTATTTATACAACGAATAGGATAGAATACCCTAGCCTTACTCCCTCTTTAAAGAAATAAAACACAAGAGAAAAATATTTTGTTTCCATGATTGTTCAAACAAGTTTTGATGCATTATTTACATATCTCTATCAAATCTTTTCCCGATGATGAT